GTATTTCGCCGCCCAGGGTTTCCATGCTTCGGTAGCGGACTCTAAGTGCGGCCGCACGAAGGTTCGAAGACTTAAGTGAAGCATTCGTCATTGAGGCAGAAAAGGCTCGTTTGCCGAGGTACAGAGCCGACATTGCAGACTCGGCTACCTTTGCGCAATGCGGAGAGGGTTTAAGCGAGGGCGTCATCCAGACTCCCAAGTCCTTCTGAGCGTCCACTTATTTCAGTGGTATGCCATTTAGTCGGTAAACCATACGGTTTGGAGGAATGATTTTGCTGACTCGTATGATATTGCATTTGCTCTCCTTGAATGTCAAGAGCCAGGCCTTCGGCCAAGTTCTCTTCGTCAGCCGCAGTTCGAATGACGCGCCAGCGTTTTATATCATCGGCAACCATGGCGACACTGCAAGCAAGCTCACTGACGCAATATTTGATGTAAACAATGAACAAGGTAAGGCCGAGGAAGGGGCCTTGGGGAAAACCACTCTCAACCACAACCTTGGTCGAATGCTTGTCGCTGATATGGACAGTTTTCGAGCGGTCTATTAGAAAATTTTCTATCCATGTAAGAAGCCTACCTCCTACTCATATGCGTCTGAGTTTATAAGGAAGACGGTGGCGCGGCAAGCTATCGGAAGCCTTTTTTTAAGTCGACATAGACCGTGTGTACCGTTTTCCCTCCATCGACTGCTTCAGTCGAACATTCTAAACAGTAGAGCAAATTCTGTTACGCAGGACTTACCTCTGCGGAGACCGCGCTGGACATCTGAAAGCAGATGGTTTTGTCCGAGGAACTGCCTTAGTTGTTGTTTAAGTTTTTTTCCATAATTTAGCAGCAAATTGCATTAAAGCTAAAGGGTCGATACATTTGTGTGGAGAACTGGCTTCCACCCTTATAGAGCGGCGTAAACCACGCCGAATTTCCAATCGGTTGGTAGGCATCCGCTTTTGAAGGATGTTTAGAAAAGCGTAGAAAGTGGTTTTGACAACTCACTGGCGAGTTCTTTCAACACCTTGGCCGGTACTTAATCGGGACCTAATGAATAAAATTCCTTTAACCCTAACACTGAATTGAACAGACTCGACTATTTTATCCAAGTCTGAGTTATCGGCAGGGTAATCGTGTCCCGTTTCCTTTGTACAAGCTGACCGGAAATATTTCCGAAAGATTATCAGCTTTCGTTTCGTCTTCTTGAAGGTCTCTACCCTCGGCGATCCTCAACAAGAGCATCAGACCCCCGTATCGCATACCCTGCCTGAGCTAACTGTTTAACAGTTTGGGGTTCATTCTGGCACGGTTCTAGGAATAAGACCCTTGACCCAATTTATCTGAATAGTTTACGCACTTACAAATGTAGGAGTCCTGTCCGTAAGCCATTTTTTCTGCAGCTTCCGTTGGTAAGCAGTGGAAAGCGCAAGCAGGGTGTTCTCGTGCGCCAGGTCTCTATTGCTGCGCATGCTAAGACTCCAGCCTCGAAACTTAAAGCAATAAATTATAACTCGCGAAGAATGTATTCGACTTCAACATCTATCTACATACAGTAGGGTCCAGAATTCGTGTAAGATGTCGACATATGCAAAAAGATTGATACTTTCACGATGAGTAAGGTTGCAATACTGATTATCGTGTAGTCTATTCTAAAGTCATTTCAGTCACGATAGGATGCCGGCTTTTTAGCGTACTGCTTTTTGAATATTTACAAAACGTACCTGCTGTAAGAAGTGGCTTCTTATGAAGTAAGCTTTTTATCATTGATTTTGATTGTCTTCATAATATAAAATATATTATTTGTAAGACATTAATGAAAAAAAGCATTTTTATACCTGTTTGATAGGAAATCATGTCTTCTTTAAATTCTATACCTAAACAAAGGGTATCTACAAACCGTAGGCAAAAACGTATTCTTCCCGAAACAGGACGTACACCGCGCACGGTTTGTAAAACTTGAATTCAAGTGTAGCAGACTGTAGGTTTCATAATTATTTGGCAATTGAGAAACTTTTTTTAAACCGAAAGGTACCCATTCTTTAAGTATAACGTGTAATTAGGACGTAATTTGCTACCAAACGAGTACAAGAAAAAATTTTTCGTCTATGTTTTCCATAGAATATATTTAAATTTATAAAGGCAGTCAAAATCAATGATAAAAATGCATACAACGTAAGTAGCCAGTTCTTAAAGTACGTATGTCTTATGTGTGGTCAGAAAGAGGCTTGTTAAAAAGCCGGCATCCTCTCGTGACTGAAATGACTTCAGAGTGGACTACACAATAATCAGCGTCACTACCGCACCCAATGCCGATTATCGAGAGGGTATCAATCCTTCGCATATGTCGACACGTTACACGAAGTAAACGAAGTTTACAAAGTAAACGAACTTCGTGTTGGTGGCTGGATGTGTAAAACATTCGACCACCTGCTGGGCCGATGACGACCAAGTCATTATAGCAAAGAGGTACAACAGCGTTTTTGGGTAATTTGATACATACCTGGTTCGGGCTTAGTTGCCTTCATTCAGCCAAGCATAACCCTGATCACGGGCTGGCCCGAAAACATAAACATACGCACACAAAAGTGCGCAGATGATCCACCAGTGCGGTCTACCAGATGGGTTATAATCACTTCATCGATACTCAGTTCATCAATGTCTCGCCACCTGCCATTTACTGTCACTACAGGCCGGGTATATATTCACTCAAGAATGGGCAAACTCCAATCCAGTTGACTTCCCGTGGTGGATTAGTAGTACTCCAACTCGGACAGCATAAAGAGGCATTCGTTTATGAACGTTCACCCGACTGCTAACGGAACTCAACTGTCCCGCTCTGCCTTTTTCCTCGACGGAGCCCCTGACAGCCGTAACAGCTGGTATTATTGGGTATATAATATTGCTAGCAAAAGGATATTGACAGT